GATGAAAAAAAAATTTGAGACTGAGAATTAAGAAAGCCATAAGAGAGGAAAAATTATTTGAGCTCAATATACTTAGGCTCGTAGAGCTTGACCTAAACTATAAAGGGCTTTCCAAAGGTGACATACATGATGAGGAAGTTGAGGATGAATAAAACCCGGAGGTTGTTACATGAAAACTTATTCCTTAAGATTGCCTTAGAGAAAGGCATTGTTGACATCCAATTGACAAAGAAGCCATATGCCAGTTACACAAATTACTTTTTTAGTAGGTACACTTTTTCTTTGTAGTTTTCACCCCTTACTTATTTTTGGTTGAAAGATGAAATTTTTAGTGATAGTTGATTGTATTCACCACTTTTTACAATAATAACTTGGTCTATGGTCAGATTAATAGTATTTTATATGTTTCAGATCTATTTACTTACTTTTGAAAGACATTTAAACATTCATTTTTAGGACATTTAAACTTAAATGGCAAGGGAAAGAATAACACGCACTATTGTTCATTGATTACTAGGCTAAAGGTGGAATGAAAATCAATGCCAGGACGTTGGGTGAAGCCCTTGGCAACCAAGTGGGCTTTATACTAATCAATAATCCCATCAGGTTAGCATTTAATCCTATAAATCCATTTACAACGAACTACATTTTGTGTATTATAATGAGGAACCAAATCCTAAGTGTGATTGTTAATAAGGGCTTCGAATTCATCACACATGGCATTATGCCAATAAAAGTGTTTTTAAGCTTGAATAAGTGTGAAAGGTTCAAAAGTTTTAAAAATTGCAAGATAATCAAAAAACTTTTTAGGTTTAAAAATATTATTTTTAGATCTGGTAATAATATGGAGAGGTGGTGGTGAAGGAGAAGAACTTACCTATAGCGAAAAAAATATCTTCAGGGTGACATTATCGGAGGCTTGAGATGATGAATCTGATGATGTGGTGAAAAACTATAAGGTTGTTTGCTTAGAAATTACAGAGACTGAACTGATAAGAGTGGAAACCTATGTTGGGATAATAAGGTCAAGGGAAAAGAATGATGAAATTATAGTGGTTGAATTAAGATAGTTGCTAAAGAGAGATGATATAGAAGGATCATGAAGAGAAAAAGTCCTGGCAAGTTGATTTGCTTTAGTTACTTTATAAGCATATAAAAAGAAGGATTGAAAAAAAATGATGTTTAATAAAAATGATAGGTCTTAAGAGATATATATGTGATTTCATAGGATCAAAACATTTGTAGCAATGATGAGTGATAGAGTACCCAAGAAAACACAGGGTTTGGACTTAGATTCTAGTTTGTGATGAGTATATAGTTTAAACCAGGGATAACAGAGACAACCAAATACCTTGAGATTTTGATATTTTGGCTTTTTTTGGAAGAGGGCTTCAAATAGAGATCGATTTTCGAGGATAGATGTCGGCATGCGATTTATGAGGTAAATTACAGTTTAACAAGCATGACTTTAAATTTGAGTGAAAGCGAAGTATGATGAAGAAGAGTTAATGTTGTTTCAAAGATGTGACGATGCCATCTTTATGCAATGCCAACATACTGAAGAGTATGGCAGAGAGAGTAAAGATGTTGAATGCCATGTTGATAGAGAAAGTGATGAAAATCATGAGAAAACCCTGATATTCTCCTATTCCATCAAAGTAAACAATAACAATTGGTAGTTGAAAGCATTTCTCAACTAGGTTCTTAAATTGCTCATAAACATTTGCAATGTCAGATTTTTGTTTAAGATGATAGAGCAAGTGTATTTGATAAAGTAATCAACAAAGATTACATAATATTTGAAATGATCAAATGAGGTAATGGGAACGAGACCCCATACATTTATGTAGAGTAATTCAAGTGGTTTGGAGCTATGAATAGAATAAATACCAAAAGGTAGTTTATGACTTTTATTGTAGAAACAAGAGTTACATGGATCCAAAGAAACTTTCTGTAAGACAAAATGACTATAAGATGAGATAATTAGATTGAGTGTTCTTTGATTAGGATGGCTTAAGCATTGTTGCCAAAAAGAAATGGTTTGACAAATGATAGTATTATCGATAGAGGTAAGATAGATAGGTTTACTGTAAAAGAGAAACAACTATTTTTGAAGATAATGACCACTCATAGAAATTCTCTTTACTCCAATTGTAGATGAGCGATACCCTTGTGCTCAAATCTTTCACCACAAAATAAGATGAAAAAAATTCAATGAAGGTATTATTACTTTTGCAAAATTGTGAGATGGATAAAAGACTTTTCGTAATATTAGGTGCACACAAACATTGTTAAGTTAAAATGAATAGTGAGGTCTATTAGGCATGGTAGAACCTATATGTGTGATGGGAATATTGTTACTGTCACTAATAAGTATATCATTGTCACCATTGTACTTAGAGTGCACTGAAAGGTTATACAAATCAAAGATGATTGATGAAAAATATTGGAGTCCATGATTCAGTTGCCTGTTTGTGATGATGGAGTGCAAATTGAGATGTGAGCTTAAAGTTTGAATGACATCTAAGACCTGTATACTTTGGTTGAGTGTCTAAACTTATCACATATTTGACATTGAATTTTACTTCTATTATAGCTACCATTGGGGTTGGTAATGGGGAATGCCAGGTAAGACTAAATCTGTGGTTGGTTGGAGCATAATTCCCTTGCTAAGTGTTGACATTTTGTTGTTCACCTATTTGGGAGAAATTTTTCTTGTTTTTGTTACTATTATTGTTACCTTTTCTGGATTTATTAAAATTGTTAAAGCATTGGTTGAATTGAGCTATGATGGTGGCTAGTCATTCTACTTGCCTTGTGTTTCAAGAATGTTTCATGATCAGTAAGTTTGTTAAACAGTTTTTCATATGTTATTGGTGAGTCACATGCCCGTATGGCAACACTGATTTCCTTGTAGTTGAGTTCAAGACCTATAAAGACTTTTATCATTGTTTTTTCATCATTGAGAGGAGATCCAAGTAGTGTAAATTTATTAGAAATGATTCTTATATCTCGTATATATTCAACCACTTAATGGGTTTGACAGTGTTGGCCAAGGTTGCATGTAGACAATAAATTCTAGTTCCTGATTTATTGGCATATGTGGTGGTGAGATTACCCCAGGCTTGCTTAGCAATCTTAGCTGTTGCAACTATAGGAACAATGGTGCCATCAATTGAGGCCATGATGGCATTTCGGATGAGGCTATCCTATCCGGTCCATAACTTGTATTTAGAAGTGGTTGATTCAATTGGACATGGATATAAGTCATCAATATAGCCCATTAAATCATATCCATAAAGTAAGGTGGTGATTTGTGCTCTCTAAGTTGAATATGTGTTGTTACCTATGAGTTTATGAGGAATTTGTAAAGTTACATTAAAGGTTATTAGAGTGTTGGTTTGTGAGTTGTTACCAACTATTTGGATGATGGTGTTTTGAGATTCTACAATGAAAATCTCAATCATAGGTTGTTGGAGAAAGAAAAGTTATTAAGGTGGAAAGGCTGTGTTTATTAGAATTATAGGGCTTTGATACCTTGTAAAGGTAATTGAAATGAAAGAAGACTCACTACTTATTTATTATAGTGTAAGGATTATATATAACAAATTGTACTAGAAAATAAAAAGAATGAAAAGTAAATCAAGGATCTATATTTGGTACAAAATCAGGCCTATAACTATATACAAATCTAATTTGTTATTGACTAATATAGTTGCTTGAATTATGGAAGATTATAAAGGATAGGAGTTGATGCCCTATTAAAATACTCCCATTTCAATTATATATAATTGCAAAATTGGTTAATAAAAAGTGATAAATCATAAGCATGTATAAAATGGTTAAGTTGCTATACGCATTAAGCTAATTGAAATTATAAATAAAATCATATTTAAATTTATTTTTTTAATTATATAATTAAATTTATTAAATATGCACTGTTTATTCAATTCGATAAAAAAATCATAGTATCTAATATTTAAAAATAAAAATTTGTCACCCAATAATATTTTAATTATTATATAAAATATAAAAAAATAAAAAAATTTATTTAATAGACTGATAATAGAGTTTTTTAATTTTACAAGTCAAATTAACAAAGTAACATATGCCTTATTATTTTTAATTATTTTTAATTTTTTAAATTACCTTAAAAAATACATATAATTTTATTAACTCTGCTTATAAAATTACAAAATTTCACTAATAATATATTTGATAATTTTTTAATAAAATATGCACTTTTTATTGTGTCCAATGGAGCTATAACTTATAAAACTTATATATGAAAATTCTTGCAAAATATATTAGGATCCAAATCCATAATCCATACGAAAAATATTTTATAATTTTAATTATAATACAAATTATTATCCAAACACATTATTAATTATTAATTAATTAAATTAAACTAATAACTCTAGAATGCAGCCAATGTCATTTCCAAACATTATTTACTATAAGACATGTGTCAATCAATGGATCATTTTTTAAAAAATTATAACTATTAATTGATATTTTTTCAATTAAATAAAAATAAATTTTTCAATTATCACGTGACCTGAAAAACTATAGGTAAAGAAATCAATCCCTTTTAAGAATTGTTTTAATAAAAATAATACTAATAATATATAAATTATATAAAAATTAAAAAAAATTTGTGTCAAACATCAAATAACTTCAAAGGAGATTATTTTTTATATAAGATGTATTAAAAATAATATAAAATTTTTAAAATATATCATGCGACAAAATCACGCGTCAAACTAAACAATGAAATGGTTTTTAAGATATGATAAAGTTTGTCTCACGCCTTTAGTTCAATGGTTAAAGACGCTTGAGAATATATTAAAGTGTTGGTTTCAAATCAAATTTCTCCTCTTCCTTTTATTTATATTAAAACTATACCCTCCTGATATAATAAAAAATATATATGGAAGAGTTTTGCGGGGAATTTTTGGCAGACTAAATTAACCAAGGCCTGCGTAGTTGTGGGCCATTGTAATACAGAAATATGTGACAAATGGGTTCCTGTTTGAGTATACGTTACGTAAATCAGAAATGTTTTTGTGAGCAATTCCCATCCTCAAAGTCTCTTTATATGCTGCGTGTGCCTGTGCCCTCCAATTTCAAAACTCCCCGCAAAGAGAGTCTTGAAAGGAGCAAGAAGCAAGGTTTAATTCTTCATGTTTAGCCATGGATCAAGAGCTTCAAGCAGAATCACTGATGATGAGCTCAATGCTCTCATCTTAAAACTACAAACATTGCTGCCACAGCTGAATCAAGGCCGCAATGCCAGGGTAGAACCTATTAATGAAATATAAATCCACAGCTGAAACCCCTTTGCATCAAGAGAATAAAGTTGTGATATGTGGGGATTTGCACGTGAATTTTTTTTTTTTTTTTATGTCTATTTATGCTTGGGAAGATTTTCAAGGGGCAAGACTAACCATTGTTTCTATAATTTTATTTTCCGTAGGTATCAGCAACAAAGGTTTTGAACGAAACATGCAGTTATATCAGAAGACTACAGAAAGAGGTAGATGATTTGAGCGAAAGACTATCTCAACGTCCAGGTTCCATGGATATAACTAGTTTTGATGCAGAGATTCTTAGAAATTTGCTGCAGCAGTAAAGCCCCCCCCCCCCCAAAGTACCACTTCCAGTTCTCTTTCTTATCAGTTTGTCTGAAATAGTTCCAACAACAGACAAAAATATGTGTTTTTCTTCCTGTGCAACTGTCATGTTTCATTGTTCCTTAATTATATCCAAGTTTGACTGGGATTCCGAAGCATGCAGTTAAGAATATAAACTATGTATATCAAACGTAAGTGTTTCCATGTTTTACATTCTTCATTGTTTATCCTTAATAAACTTTAAGAAAAAAAAAAGTTATGGTCTTGGGGCCCCATTTTGCTTGAAAACATTAGCTGCCAAAACCAGTTTCTTGGGAGTTCTTACTTCAACTAACAATAATCTTTGCAATTCCCCAGTTCACTCCATTACTACTTCTAGTCATAAAAATAGTAAACAGTTCCTACTTTCAATCTGCAGTGAATCTCCCATTTTCCCAATAGATGAGGAAATGCAAATAAGAATGACTTAATGAATTACAAGGATGGGATGAGAGCCTTGAGAGTTTGGTAAGAGATTATCCCTTCAAGCCATAACACTCCTTACATTCCCAAAACCGCAGTAATAATACTAATAAAAACTATTGGAAGAACAAACCAAAGGATATTGAACAGTGGCGGATTCAAAATTTCTTAGAGAGGGCCATATAAAAAAAATTTGTAATTTGAAAATTTTTTTAGCTTATAATATGATATTATTTTATCAAAAGTTATGAAAACATACATGAAATATAACATTTCATATTGTAATCATAAACAAAATATATAAAAATTCAAATATTGAAATAAAAAATATAACTATTAAAAATAAAAGAAATTCAAATACTTTTATTTAAAATACGTAACTTGTTAAAATTTTCAAAACTTACATATAGATGGTACATTCAAAAGCTCTTAAATAAATTGTAGTTTTAGTTTTGATTTTTAGTGGTAGTTCTTATGATGTATAAATCATTTTTACTTGTAAACTTCACAAATTTTATTTAAAAATTTATATACCTTATCATTTATTTAGTATTAAAGTGTTTATATTATTTAATTAATAACACTATAATAAATTGTTTTATAAAAAAAAATTTTCATACTTTACAAATATATTCAATTGTACTAAATTTTTTTTTATTGAAGACAGTCTAAATTTTTATTAAACTTGAAAAATAAATAATACTCTCAAGATTTAAAAAAATAATAATAAGTTAGAAATTTATAAATAAAAATTAAAATAATTATATTATCTTGAGGAGGCTATTCATTAATTTTGAGAAATATATTTTAAAAATTAATTGAAAATATTAAATGGCTAAAGAAGTTTTAAAATTCTTGGGGGGGCCATGGCCCCTCATTCCCCTATGCGGCACCGCCACTGATATTGAAACATGAAAAATATGGCTTTAATTTAATGGTAACATACATGGAATGGAACCATCCAGATTTCATAGCGCAACAAAACAAAGTAAACAAGTACTATTTTTCTCCCTTACTTCTGCCATGTTGTTGATGCTAAGTTGTATGCTTAATTCATAAATCTAGGTCCTGAAAAAATTTCTTTTAATTAACAACATAACATAAATATATATAATAGATGTAAAGGGAGGAAAGGGGAACCCTTCAGTTAGCTTTGCCTGTCTTTGTATGAGCAGTTTTTTTATATATATTCTAGACACCTCTAAGAAAAAAATCTTAGATCCGCTATTACTAGATTCATCACAAAGAGGTATGTATATATGCCTATGTATCAGCATGTAGAAATAAATTTGTATTTCACTTCAAGGGGCTATGGTCTGTCAAAAACTAGCTGCTGGAGTGGAATGAGGATTCAGGAGGCAGAACTGTATAAAGTCCTCCAATAATCTAGTAAACACCCCTGTCCCCAGCACCCTGAAATTGGCTGCTGTGGCCAGAAGCTAGCTATTTAGAGGAATATTAATTCTAAATCCAGATTTTGGTTCATGATCAGAAAAGGTGAACTGCTTCATAGTCTTAGCATTTAAAAGCAATACTATTTGCTTTATCTGCTATCGGAATTCAAGATTTCAAAATTTCGCCATAGGAAATGTTTGTAAACTTGAACAAGAAATTAACAAGCAAACTTAGCAATAAATGGTAGGACTCTCCATTAAGTTAAAAATTTTCACGGTACAGCCACTATGGAAACATTCAGATTCCAGTCACACATTGTCAACTTGGAACAATTTCAGAAAATTATATAAGGGCAAAAATAAAAAGGCGTTGGTTTAGTTAGGGTCAACCCACAGCCATACTGGATTCAAGCGGGCATTAGCATGTAATTCTTCATATCAGCCACTAGCATCCTTGTTCCAACGCCTCATTGGCCCTGCTTGGGTTACAAGCTTGCGCAAAAATACTCCACTTGTTTTCTAGTGGCTTGCGTTCAATATAAATAACAAATATGTCTTGAGACTACGCGATGTGGGATTTGGTTCCCTTTTGGGGCAGTGAATTTTGAGGCCTTCTCAGAAACTTGAAATGAATGTTCAAAGTAAGTATTGATGATTAGCAAAGATCAACATGGTACGGTTAAGTAAAAAATCTAGGGATTTCTAGTAGAAACAGAAGCAACCGGTCTTGAACAAGACCCTGCTTATGCTAACTTTGTCACTCAAACAGTTGTTAATGGTAGCTCGAACTTTGATCAAATTAACTAAACTACTTTTTTTTTACAAGCAAACACCCATCGGATAAAAACATTTAAAATAGAACAGCATCGTTTTTGCAGACACGCATCGAAGCATATCGTTCATATAATTTTTTGATCAAATTATGAAAATAGTTTGTGTTTTATTAAATTTTGAAATTTAATCTTTTTACTATAATTAACAAAAGTATAGTACTCATATTATTTTCATTGATAATTTTATTTCAATTATTAACTTTATTAAATTTTTATTATTAAAAATATTGACATGACATTAGTTTGATAACATAGGCATTGACATGTTGAGGTTGATTTTATTAATGTAACATTAACTTTATTGATATGATAATATAAATGAATGAAATCAGTTATCAAATTATGTAAATAGTTTATCCACACATACAAAATTTGAATTTTAACATTTTAGTACAATTTATAGAAATCCTTTCATCGTAAAAAATGAATTTAATAATATTAGTTCAATTACTAAATATTAAAAATATTTATTTTTAAATTTTTTTTATTTTATTAGATAAATTCAAAAGTGAAATTTAAATTTTTTAAAAATAATATATATTATTTTTAAAAAATAAAAAATTGAAAAAAATAAAGTTAATATTTTTAAAATAAAAAATCTAAATAATTCAAATTTTTATTTTTTAAAATTGAAATCCGATTGTTAAAAAATTCAAGAAATATAAATTTTTTAAAATAATATATATTATTTTTAAAAAATAAAAAATTGAAAAAAATAAAGTTAATATTTTTAAAATAAAAAAAATCTAAATAATTCAAATTTTTTATTTTTTTAAATTGAAATCCGATTGTTAAAAAATTCAAGAAATATAATTTTTTTAAGGTTTTTAAAAAATTCAAAAAAGCTTAAAAATCAAAATTTTTAAATTTTTTTTAAAAATTTCTTTTAGGATTTTTTTAATTTTAAGATTTAAAAAAAAAGATTAGAGTCACGTAAGCAAAATTAATGGAGAGTAATTAATCTTATTAGTAATTGGACTAATATTATCAAATTCAAGTTGTACAAGGACAAGATTTTTCATAAATTTTACAAAAAAGACTAATGTAATATTTGATTTTAGTACACAAAGTCATTTTTTATTTTTTATTTTTTTGGAAAATAAAAAACTATGAATGAAAACATCTTTATTAATAGAAAATGAAAAACAAATGTTTATAAAAGAAAAATGAAAATGGTCTAAAATATGAAAACAAAAAAGATGTTCTTAATTATGAAAATAAGAGATATACATTACTTTTTTCATATATTTTGCAAGTTGAATACTTTTTAATGTCATTAATTAATTAATATATATTATATTTATAATTTGATGTCATTAATATTAATGTCATTTAATATTTTATTTATTTTCTTGTTTTACAATTTTAGAAAATAATTTTTATTTTCGTTTACCGAATACATTTTTCAAACCAAACAAAAAAAATTTAAATTTCATATGAATATAATAATCAGTTGTATTATTTGACAATTAATTTTATTCATCTATGTTATCATTTTAGCAAAATCAATATCATATCAGTAAAATTAACACTAATATCGTTAAGCTAACATCATGTCGATATTTTTAACTATAAGAGTTAATAAAATTAAAATTTTTTATTAGACTAAAATTATTAAATTAAAGTAGTATAACGAGTACATTTCTATAAATTATAATAAAAAATTAAACTTCAAATTTCAATAGAATACATGACCAGTTGACCTAATTTTTCTTACATATATCTAATACTAAGTTAAACTTTTATTAAGAATATCCACTTTTAGATAATAAAATAACTGACCTGAGGCTTCAAAAAGGTGAAGGTTCAATTAGGATCAACCCACATAGCCATGGTGGTTCCTAATGGCACCGGCCTGTCATCCTTCCACTGCAAAGAGAGGGAGGTTTTCGCTGCTCTGTGAATCCAACCTCACGCGGTACCATCCACTCTAGGAGCCACGAGACTCAGAGCCTTCGCACAAGTCCCAGTGCTCAACTCCTTGCTTGGAACGGGCAGGCCAGTGAAGAGCCACAGCAGAACCGACTCGGTGAATTGAGCCAATGTTCGATCACCCTCATGCCCCCACTCGGGTAACAAGCTGACGTTATCCAGCTCGGCGGGCAACAGGGGTCTTTGCGCTTCACTTAAACAACCACTTATACTATTCAGTGCCCAATGTGGGATTTGCTTCCCTTTTTCAAGTAAATCTCGTGGACTGGTGATTTTGAGGTCTTATCTGAAGCCTAAAATCTCTGTTCTAGTCAAGACTGATGATTGCCAAAGCTCAACTACATTTGTCCGCATGGCTAACCTAGGGATTACCTAAAG